CGTTGATAATTCAATGTGAGTATTTTTGTGTTTTTCCTGCATTTTATTACTGTCCTAAATATTTTCATCTTTTTTTATGAAAGATGGATTAGAGAATAGATAAAGAGAAAATTTTGCAGTTTTTGAATGAATTGGATGATGAAACAATTGAAGAGCAGGATGAGGTACAATCACACTCCGAACAAGAAGATAGCTGTGAAGAAGAAATTCATATCCTAACTGATGAAAGTGAGCAAGAATCTGCATTATCTTCTGATGAGGAACTGAATATTGCTCGCCAAAACTGTAACTGAAGATTTATAATTGACTCTGATGATGATGCCTTGCAGTTACCTGGGCATCAGCAACCATGTTCATGACACAATCCATCGCTTGTAATTCATCCCCATAAAAATTTCATATATAGTAAGAATAAACACAAATGGTCCATAAATCCGCACAGTTCTAGCAATTATACAGCTGCTCATAATGATATTAGCTTTATACCTGGTCTTGCCAATGAAGTTAGAGATATGGAATAAATCTTGTGGGTTTGATATTTGTTTGTTTCTGAGGAAATGATCAATGACATGATTTACTACACCAATGCAGAAATTGATATAAATAGAAGTACAAAATGGACACCAAGACCATTTCTCATACCTCAACCGATTGAATAAGGAGACCCAGAAACACCTTTATTTCATCAGCAGCAATGAAAAGCAATCGTTTGCCTATGAGAACTTTATTTGATAACAAAAAAAGTTGTTGCATTTTCAACACTTGTACAAGTGCTGAGATATTTAATTTTTTGATAAGATGTTGCCGATTTGATGACTAGAGTACCAGACAAACGAGAAGAGCTATAGACAATTTTGCACCAATCAGAGAATTTTGGGAAAAATTTATACTTAATTGCAAGAAGTGGTATAATCCGAGTCCAAATGTCACAATTGATGAACAGCTTGTTGGGTTTTGAGGATGCTGCCCATTTCATATGTATTTACCAAACAAGTCCAATAAATACAGGATCAAGATTGTGATGCTAGCTGTTTCAGATTCAAAGTATGTTTATAATGCCATGCCTTATTTGGGTAAAGGTATGAACCCAGCAAATGTACCACTAGCTACCTACTTCATAAAGCAGCTTTGTGAACCATTAAAAAAATTCAGATCGCAATATAACTATGGATAACTGGTTCACGTCAATTCCTCTTGCCTCTGAATTGCTGCAGCCTCCTTACAATTTTACAATTGTTGATACATTGCAAAGTAACAAACAAGAAATTCCACAAGAACTGAAAAATTCAAGGACAAGAAAAGTAGGTACTTTAATGTTCTGCTATGACTATCAGAAGACTTTGGTGTCATACAACTTTATTTGATTTGGGTTTATATATCTTCTTTCTACCATTCATGATCAGCCGGACATCAGTCCTACGACAAACAAACCTGAGATAATCCATTATTACAACAGCACTAAAGGAGCAGTGGATACTGTGGATCAATTATGTTCAGGGATGAATACTGCTCATAAGACTTGTAGATGGCCACTTTGCTTATTCTATGATGTTCTGAACCTAAGCTTAATAAATGCATATGTTATTTATGTGTCAAATAAAGTATGATAGCAGCAGAAACCCCTCACATGAAGACATTTTGCATTAACATTGGCTGACAGCCTCGTAAAGCAGTGGTTGAAAGAATGTTACAATATAGTAACTTTTAAGATGTTCCATCAAAATAAATATTGAAAAGCCCACAGAAGACATGATTAAAAGTGCAACAAATAGATGCAGAATTTGTACTTTCTGTCCATCTAAGAAATGCAGAATGACAAAGTACGTATGCAACTACTATAACAAGGCTATTTGTGGAGAGCACACTTTTAACATCTACCAAGAGTGCAAACGCTAATTTTTACCACCTTTCTATTTTTTAATTGAAATACAGTGATACCCCGACTTACGCGAACCCAGAGTTACGCGATTTTCAAATCTTGTCGATTCGTCTTTTGTTTGAGCGCCACGCAACCTTTGATTACTCACTCTCCCCACACTATTGTTCAGCTTACATGTTCGGATGTGTCGCTCAGAATCCACACATAGCTACAATTTATTTTGTGTTACTTATTTCTGTGTTTGTTATATCTACAGAGACTCAAGAGACACTACTATGTCATCCAAACGAAGTAGAACTAATTGTTCTGCATCAAACAAGAAAAGAAAAACTTTATCTTTGGAATGTAAAGTTAACATTGGGTATGTTCGTAAAGTCGAACGAGTTAAACGAGAATGACGTCATCGTTATTCCTATTTCGTTAGACTTTTCGAACGATTCGTTACTAACGCGTTTAACTCGTTTGACTTTACGAACGTACCCATTATTAAAGACTTCGATACAAAAATGAAAATTTGTGAATTGGCAAAGAAGTTTGATCTACCGGAATTGTCGGTCAGAACAATTATAAAAGGCAAAGAAAAAATTCTCGAAGCTGTGAAAAATCCTCAATCTTTAAATTCGAGCATCATTCGTAAACGTCACAGTATTATTGCTGACATGGAAACAATGTTAAAATTATGGCGTAATAATCAAGTAAATGTGAAAAATTGTAAAATAATATAGGCCTAATTTGTTATACATATGTATTATCTAAGATTTTATTAAACATTTTTTTCTAAAATATTGTTTTCTTTAGTCTCCGGCCCCAATTAAAAATTATTTGTATGTATTTATATGTGAAATTATACCCCGACTTACGCGGTTACCGCTCAGCCCCACCTATCGCGTAAGTTCAAGGTATTACTGTATTATAATACTTAAGATTCCTTTATTTATTTCAAACAATATACTTGTTTTTAATAAACTAATTTTTTATAATTCATAGTCTATGAGTCAATGATTTTAACTCTAGATAACTAAACTTAAATCAGTGTTACTCTGTAACTAATCATTCATGTCATTGTATAAATTTGAAAGGTTAATGAATGTGTGTCCATGTATACTAAATTCACATTTTTACTATACATATTTTTAAATACTTCATAAAATGTTTCATATGTATGTAATACACAAAAACAAATATAAATAGGTTTATCTAAATGTAAATTAGTTTCTCATTTTAAAAATTGTGAGATTATCGTTTACAACTTGAAAATTTTCTACCATGGGTTGACATTGATCTAATGTCATAGCCACTTTTAAATCTAAACGATTTCTTACATTTTGACATGTTCTACTGAAAAAAACTATTATTCATTAATTTAAAAAGACTTAAGAATCAACTAATGATTTTGATGTCTTTTATTAAAAATAAAAATAAATATTTTTTAATTATCAAAAAAGCCATGGATTTTTCAATAACAACAATTAAATAACATGCAGGTTTATGACTTTCAATAGTTTTATGATCATTTTTGAAGAATTTGAAGAAACTTCATTATTTCATCCTGTCTGTATATATGCAGATTCTGAATCAATTTTACATGATTTTTCATGAGAAAGAAATTTAGCAATCATTTTCTCTCCATTTGAAGAAGATATTTATAATTGAAAGAATATTGTAAAGTATGTTCTCTTAGAAAATTTTATAAGATACTTCTTTTACTTTCATATTCCAGAGTTTTCCAACATTAGTCGGTTAAAATTTCTAATTAATCTATTATTGTATAAATCACATTATTTCTTAATTTCTTTTTTAAATTGAAATTATATAAATTGGGATAAATTAATTTCTTTTCATATCCAAATATATGAATCCTTAAAAATATTTCATCTTTTGAAAAAAAGTAGCTGTTTAAAATATTTTATATTAAATGTTAAACATTTTTTTTATATGATTATATTGAATTTTTATTGTTTACATTTGGATATATATGTGCAATTATACTGTACAATAATTATCTTTTGTTTAATTAATAAATATTTTGGAAGAATATCATTACCCAAACCACCAGTTTCATTTTTATATATTCCTAAATGAACATCTATAATTATAATCTCTAATTATCCATCCGGATCCATGTTTTATAAACTGATAGATAATTTTTCATCAAAGTCTAAAATTGTGACAAATGCATTAGATTAATCATATAAGGAGACAAAGTATGCTCAACAGGACTGGAAAAATAAACATCTTAATAATGATAATTTTATTTCTAGAATAAAATTATTGAATATCAAGTAAAATATTGTAAATACATGGTTTAAATTAAGTCTAATATTATTCAAATAATAGGTGCCATCTGGCAAAATTCTTAGAACTAGCCAAAATTCAGTACTGTGTTAGTAAAATGAGGAATAACAAAAATGATAGTTAATATATTAACACACAAAGTTAAACCAATTGCTGATTGTCTACCATATGCATATTTTTGTATTTTCAGTGTTTTGTAGGAAATACAGATTTTAAAGCACCTGGATACTGAGGTTTAGCAGAGGAAAAAATTGTGAACAAAGTTTTTCAAACATATAACTTTTGGAATTGCTCCTCCAATGAAAGTGTTTTAACTTTTCTCTTTTTCTGTATTAATAAAAATTTGGCAGTTTTGTTTTATAAAATGTTCATACATTTTATAAAACAAACCTGCCAGTACTTTTGCATTTATTTTACAGGTTTTGATGCTCTTTAGCACAAAATATTTTTTGAAATTTTGGATTTTTCTGGCAACCTATCTGATATTCTTCTTTCAACTTTACCATGTCATTGTTCTCTACAAAGTCTGCTTCTGTTCAAACATTTTGTAATTAAGTGAAGTCGAATATAGCTTTTAATATGTATGCTTTCTATGCCTATAAAAATTGTTAAATTTTTCCAAAATACAATACAATGGGTTCCATTTGTAATTATTTTATTTTTTAAATCTATTTTTACACTGAAAAAAATATATAATTTTTTTCCTTTTGTTAAAATCTATAAAACAAGTTTAACAAAATGAAACTGTTTTCAAATTAAAATTTGAATTATACAATTATATAATATAATTTTTATTATTTCTCATTATTTTAATTTATCAGTCCATATTTTACAAAATTTCTTTACAACAAAATAAAATGAATTTTTAAAATTTACATAATCATACATTTGTTGTTCAAAATTTAAACTATTCACATTTTATTTTATTTATATAATTGTTAATTACCTGTATAAAGGCTATAATGCATAAGGCTATTGTAAATGAATAAATAATATAGTAAATTTTGATAACAGTAAACATAGTTGTTAAAACAGCAAGAGTGTAAAGCACATAGGATAAAAATTTATAGCCAAATCTGAAAAAGAAAATACTGCTATTAGGTATATTTAGTATTAACACTATACAATATAAACAAAGTGCCAAGCATTACTTTTTAGAATAAAATTTAAAATTTTGGTTCTGAATTTCAAAAACTTATAAAATTTATTTCTTGATATTTTTTTTATTGCAAAACTTATGTTAAAAAACATTTTGGCACTTTAGAATTTATTCTAAAAAACCAATATTTTAAATTTTATCATTATGTTCAAAGATCTTTGAACATAATGATAAAATTTTATTATTAAAATAAATGACATAAAATTGTTTTAGAGGAATATTGGTATACAGTATTCCTCTAAAACAATTTTATGTCATTCATTTTATTATTATTAATTTTAAATTTTACATTCAAAATTGATTTCAAAATAATTCTTAACAAATATAAATTATTTGAATTGCTGCATTTAATGATATATCTTAATTGAGTCAAACAACTTGCATATTATGTATACCGTGTTTCCCCGAAAATAAGACAGTGTCTTATATTAATTTTTGCTCTGAAAAATGCACTAGGTCTTATTTTCAGGGAATGTCTTATTTTTTCCAGGAAGAATTCACATTTCTTATTGAAAAAAAATTCCCAAGTCAAACTTAGACAAGAGTGACGTATATCCGGTGTGTCGAACTGTCGCCATTTTATAGCGTCAACATCGGACTCGATGACCAATTAGTGCTTACTGAACCGTAGCACTATGCAAATGTCATGTGGCGTGATTCCCGGCCAACCAATTAGCCATCCCCAGCCGTAACGTTATGCAAATCTGTGATTCCCAAGCCATAGTCTTATGCAAATCATGCCGTGTGGCGTAATTGTCTGCTGACCAATCAGTGGCTGTACTTTCAAAAAGCCAACGGCCACTTTCACCATCTGTCGATGACCGTTACCAATAAAGAAAAACTTCTCTAGGTCTTACTTTCAGGGGGAGGTCTTATATTTCGCAATTCAGCAAAATCTGTGCTAGGTCTTATTTTCTGCAAATGTCTTATTTTCGGGGAAACACGGTAGATTCATTTTTTTAAACTGGTGAGCATGTAAATAAAAAAAATTGTTTCCAAAACTTTTACCAGCTGTTTTAAAACACTAAATGTCATAGATTCAATTCCATATTTATTTATTTTCCAATAGTAACTAGGCCAATTATCATAAATCCCAACAGCAGTATTCAATATAAATTATTAATTACAATTTTTTTTGTATAATGCTATTTTAATTAATAATAATAAGAAAACATAGTATAATTGTGGTAGTCCTATATCAATAAGTTGAGATAGCTTATTGATTACATCAGGATGACGACAACAATTACAACAAAAATTGATTGTATGTTACTAAAGATCAACAAATTCAGTTAAGTGGAGGTTTTTATTATTTTATACAGCAAGAACATGACTGTCAAAGAAGAAAACACAGATCAATTTTCCTTTCTTCTTAAGGACAACATTTAATTTAACTACAATTTTATGCTACAACAGATATTATGCAGTCACAATTACATAACGTTATGGGTTGAGAGAGAGATGTAAGAGCAGTGAATCAAGATGCCTCCCAATATTAATACTTTGTGCAATTAGATCTTTGAGATAGTTTGATGGGTGAAAGAACTTGTCCTAATCAGTAAGAATGGAACTTCTAATTTGATTGATTGTTTGACCTTTGCTTTTTCTGATCAATCCAGAGAAATTAAAGTTGCAAAGACAAAGTTTTAACTTTGTGAAACTTGGCTTGATGTTAACTAGAATTTAATTACTTCTCTGAACTGACTTTAAGAGAATCTCTGACTCTCTCTCTTATGCTTTTGTTTTCAGCTCCTCCACAAACTCCTTAGAGGACAACCAGATCAATTTTTCAAATTGTCACTAAGAGTCCATAGGTCAACTGGAGATTGACCTTTTTGTTCTGAATGCTTTCCATTGGACTATCTCTCAATTTATATTTTTAGAATCACAATAAAAAAATCTGGTTTGCAAATATAAATAACCACCTTATATACAATTTACTGATTTGTATCCAATTAAGCCTTGTATTTGCAAAAAGGAAAGTAAACTTTAATCACATTGTTAATTAAACTACCAAACCCATACTCGGCAGAAAGAATAATCCCTAAACAGCTTTGGTACTGAATGCTGAAAAAATTTATATATATATAGAGTAGTTTTGGATTAATACATTTATCTTTCAGAGATTCAGACAGTAAATGTAACTAGGAGTTTCTATAAAGTTTATTTTTTACAATGAACTAACATATAAAAATATATTTTTTATTTAAAATTATTTGAATATGAATTTAAACATAAAAATTCTAAAATAACCTTAAAGAACATTAAACCTTAAATATTAGAATTTTATTTTTATGTTCTGTTACAAACTGTTCCAATATAGAATACATTATGAATAGATATTCCAAAAATTAGCCACCTGAGGATAGCCTATAAATTAAGCTGAAAACATTAGAGCATAACAAGTAAATGTTTAACAAAGGTGTTTAGTGATGAATTACCCATTGGCTGCTGAGAAACATTTATTTCTCCATATAAGTGGAGGCAGTTCTACATACAAGCAAAAAAGATGATTCCTACAGCCTCACAAATTTAGTAGTATATTTTCAATAATTACCAGTTTGATGATTTAGATATTAAAATGTAATTCTACCAGTATCATCAGTTTCAAATTAAAACTGGTCAATAATGTGTCAAGAAAAACCTTTTTCACTTTTCATCTTGTTCTTTGAAAGAGAGAAAAAAGACTAGTTCTGCAGTATTTCTATAATTTATTAATTCAGTGCTGCTAAAAGCAACAAAGCAATTTTGTAGGTGAATTTCTGTACATTGAATTGGAAAATTTAATAGAACTATTGTACACACTATTATTATTTATTGTGTGTTTTACAGTTTGTTTCTATATTAAAAATGCTCGTATTATTGTAGACCTAAATAAATCTATCTCCATCGTCCTTTTAATTTGCTTCAAAAATAAATTTTTCTTAGGGCCTCACAAATCCTAGGGCTACCCCAGGAAGGAAGATTAAATATCTATTGTAACATCACTTACTAAACTTGAATTTACGATAACTCTTGTGAGTATACTGTATACAATAAATAAACGATTATAATCAATTTAGAATTTTCAGTAAAAACTGATATAAAATCTGAAACAGTTACTTTTGTACTGATTTGAATAATTTACACATCTGTTCAATAATTAACAATAATTGATCACTGCATTAAAAGTATATTGATAAGTTTACTGTAAACTCGTGCGTTAAAGTGTAATGCTTTTGGAGGCTTTAGGACTGTTTTGTCTCATAAATCTTACATTTTCTCACCTCATATTTATTATCTTTGCGATTTTATCTTCTCTAGTACATATACGAAACCTAATATAGTAGTTACTATATTAGATTCCATGTGTACTGTACTAGAGAAGATAAAATCTCTTACATAAAAATTGTCTTAAATTCAAACTGATGACAAAAAAATTTTAAAAATTTAAACTTTTCTTGCGTAAAAAGTGAAAACATCGGTGTTTATCGATGTTTGTCATGAAATATTTCTTTTGGAATGAGTGTAACTAAAATGACACATACTATTGGGCGTATATTGAGAGAAAATGAAAAGTTGTAAAACATAAATTCGATATTCCATTGTAATAGTTTTTAAAGGTCTTTTTTTCAGTTAATGTTTCAGTTAATAATCCAAATAAAATATCACAAATGTTTCCAATAATAATCTATAAACAGATGTATATAAAATATTACAAAAATACTAAGAAATATAATAGTCAGATGAAAATATAATTCGGTATAAAATGAGTAAATAATNTGCTCATATATATGGACATTCTTATTATTATTACACATTATTAATAAATAATCATTATTACTATTGTTATTATTTATCCTCTACCATCAGTGCTCTTTTAATGCACCTCAAAAATAAATTTTGCCTAGAGCCTCATAAATCCTTAGGCAATCCTGCATATATAGCAAGAACCTTGCAATCATCTGACTTATAAAACTTCCTCTGTATTGTAGTGGGGTAAACCTCCATAAGAACTACAAATTTTACATCACTATTTTTAAGAAATGATGATTTTGAATCAATTTGGCATTATTCCACAAAAGTATATGAGTAATTTTAACAAAAAAAAATATCATTTTCAGACTAAATATATTGTTAAAACTAAATTTTTCAGAATTATTCATGCAGAAAATCAAATGATTTATTGTGTTAAATTTCTTTAAATGATGTATTTCCATAGAATCAATTGATCATTGTAAGATTTTGAAGGGGAAGATCTGTCTGAAATTTTGCAGCAATAAAGTAGAAATTCTTAATATTGATATATTAGTATATTTCCAAATCTCTTAGAAAACTTAAAAAATGAGATGATTAATATGCATATTCAAACTTTTTCGCTTTCCTAATCATTCTAAGCATGAATTTCTCTTACTATCCAGACTATCAGGAATATACATTTTAAAAAATGAAGAAAGTAACAAAGTTATTGGAAAGCTACAAAACAAAAACATATCTTATTATCAAGGAATGCTATCATATAAACAGCATCTTGAAGAAGAAAAAGGAAAACTAAAACAAGATTGAGATGACATAGCCACATAGTACTTAGAAAAGATACTGAATCAATAAGAAAATCTGAAGCAGAAATAGTTAATCTCTATCTAATCATTTTTCTTAAGATGGCAATAAAAAATAAGAAAAGGCATTTAACAGAAGAAGTCAGAAGTCAGAAGCCAGTACCTTAATGAGTTGTCATTAAATTTTGGATTAAAGGAATGATATTAACTAGGACATTTACTTCTGTTTCATATGTAGCTATAAAAGTACTAAGCTTACAATTATATAGAGATCAAAGAACTAAAAGTTTATATTGGATCAAGTTCTTACAACAATTATTTAACTAATTTGTGAAAAAATTTTTGTAACATGAATTGCTCTCATTGTTTTTGTTTGTATTTAAATAATTTATTGTAAAAATTTTGAAAATGGAATAACACAAAAAATATTTGGTTAATAAAACTATAAACATTTGACACTTAAATAAAAGAAAGGAATCAATTTAATTAATATATAAATCATAATAGAGAAAAAAATATAATTCAAATATACAAATATATATTTGAATTATAAGTAAATCTGATGACAATACAGTAGAGCATCAGTTAACCGACCATTCTAGTCGGCAAATTTCAAATGTCCGCTAATGATGTGGCGCTACAATATTTGGCTATGTCTTGGCTACTTTAATATTATTTTTGTTAAATTTTTGCGTGTTTTAGCTGGCAACATCGACTCGACCATTGAAGGGAGGCCAGTATTTAAACGAGACTTAATTTTCTAATTATGAATGGTTGTTTGTTTTGTGAGCAATAAAATAATTTTAAAATAATTTTTAACAATACAATAGCGACGATTATTATTTTAAAAAAATTTTTTAGGCTTAACATAGATGAAAATTCAACGCGAAGTTGGTTAATAGCGATATACTAACATACTAATTACATACTACTAATATACTATACTAATGTATTTTTTTAATTCTTTTTGGTTATCCGATTTTTTCAGTTATCCGAACAACCTGAGTCCCCAATTGAGTCGGATAATCGATGCTTTACTGTATAAAGTAAGCCTAAAACATTTGTTTTTTTTAATAGTCTATAATATTGTATATTATTATTTTGTTATATACAATATTAATGTTAATGTAATTAAATAGAAACAAATTCAATAAAGTAACATTAATACAGATGATTTAGGATTAAAATAACAATGTAGTCTGAAGTTTATAAATGAAAACATTGAAATAATTATTCGTGAAATTTAATTTAGAATAAAGAGAAATATTACCTGTTGATCTGTAATTCATCATCTTTCCAAAATATATAGCATGTCATCATGATTAATATTATTATTATTAAAAAGGGATCTTGAGAAGATATTACAGAACTTTTGATATTACGAACCCATACAATAAAAGATGGGATCAATAAACAAAACATTAAAAATAGAAGAAAATTAACAGCCATTCGGATATGCCATCTTCTAGTACGAAAATTAATTCCTTTTCTATCCTCTTCAATAATGCATTTACCACAGGAAGGAATGAGCTATAATAATTATATTTATATATTATTATTTGAATGTTTGATATTAGATAAAATGTTTTAGATAATTAAACTAAAAATTTTTTATCTACATATAAAATCAAAACAGAATTTTAATATTAAAACAAAGTATAATTCCACAATGGTTTAAAGGAGAAAATATTACATTTAAAGGAGTAATAGCTACAAAAAAAAATTAAAAATTATTCAAGCACTTTCAAATTTAACTGCTCATTTTCAAGAACTCAATGCTCTGTTGCATTCATAGCAATAGAACAATTCTTTTGATTAATGTCTTATTTTCTTCATTTAATGATATAATAACTATAATATTTTCTTCATTTGAATTAATTCGTATCATTTATTTAGATGATGATAATATTAATAAGAAGTAATATAACTTTATATATAAATAAATGATTAAAATTTAAGAAAAACATTTTTTACATTAATATAAAAAAAAATTGAAAAACACTATCTCAGAGAACACTCAAACCTGTAATTAAATTTCCACAGAAAAAAAATCACGCAATTTAAATTCAAATTTGTAAACACTATCTCTATATTATTTGCCACTTAACCTAATATTTTTGTCTGTATTTTTATGAATTAAATAAAACAATATTATTGTTCCTTAAAATAGCAGCAGGTTACAACAATAATTATTTAAATTAATAATTTTCATTTACAGAAGAAAAGCAATTAACATTGAGTCTTAATTTGCATTTAAAAATGGCATGATAAGGCTATAGACACACTGCAACATTTTGTCTTGAGACATTTTGTTGCTCAACCAAATATATGAGAGTGCACACACTATGGTAAAATGCAATAAAAGATACAAAAAGTTCTGGTGGCTGGCAACAGTTCAGCAATGAAACATCTTGCTCTATGTGTTTATATGAGAGTATGCACATTGTGATTTTTTTTGTCACCACAGTAAGTGTTGCAGTGCAACATTCAAAGCGCAAGCCATGTGCCATAAAGATGCCATGAACAACAACAGTTTTTATTGATAACAACATTTTTGTCTTATAGAACAAGCCACTAGTCATAATAATTCATCAAAACTATTGACATTCATTTGAAAATAAGAAAAAAGTTTATAGCATAAGTTCATAGCTCTTTGTACAAATATTCCTTTTAATTTTCCTTGTAATGGATAGTCTAGTAATATTGAATGTACCCAATAGGTCCTTTTTCTTTTCAGTTTTAGATTAATTTCGTTCTATCTGCAAAAGATTGTGAAATTTCAAATTCTTATGCTGTAAAACTGTCTCTAAATCAAATAGGACTTATAGCATAAGGTTCACACCTCATGATTCTCACCTCATGATATAGTAAACCAAGACCGAATTATAATGCTGGATTCATAAATCAGGCTGTAACCTGGCTAATTATATATGTATATATAGATATTAAGTCTACTAACTCCAAATAACTGGATAAGATCAATAGAAATATAAAAAGAACCCAAAATTCAGCACTGAGCTAACAAATTCAGAACTGACAACTTGAATCACTAGTTATTCAAGCATGTGAAGCATGAGCCCTCAACAAGCATGAGAGCTATTGCCTCATGCTTGTTGAGGGAACATGATTCATTGCTTGTTAACATGATTCATCAAACATATCATTTGATGAATCATGTTAACATCCAAACTATGGACAATGTAGTAGTGTATGAAATGATTATAAACTATATGTAATTTTATAATTTTACATAGAATAAAAATAAATGTATGAAATGATATGTTCTGTTATTCAAATATTTAAAATTTTTATAATGCATGTGTAGTCAACAGTAATTCAAAAAAAATGTTCAAATTCCTATTTTTATTCCATTCTCCAACATTTGAGTGCTGATGATAATGCATAGCAAGTCAAAAATGTTTCATTAATAAAAGTCATTGCAATTAGCAGTCGTGCATATTATTCATTCAGTCATGGTGCCAAGTTTTATGTTGGACTATATGCTATTACTTTTATATTAGAATAAAGGTACAGTCGACCCCCCTATAACGTACGTTCCTATAATGACAATTCCTATAACGTAGCGAAAAAATTGTAGCAACTTTCGTATAACGTACCTCCTATAACGTCGTTTCGTGACAAGATTGATAGAGTCTGGACCAATAGTGGATGAGCAGCCGAACTACTTTCCTCCAACCCTGCGCCACGCTACGGAGCGGCTAAATTGAGTTTGCTATCGTCTGTTTAGTATTATATATAAATTAGGTATAAATTAGGTACTGTACATATAATTATATATTAATTATATATAAATTAGGTACTGTATATATAATTATATATTAACTTAATTTATTGTAACTTTATTATAATTATATATATGCTTTCTGCCGCCTGGCAACACGCTACGGAGATTTTAGGCTAGTAAGTTGAGTTTATTATCGTCTGCACAGTATGTAAATTAGGTACCGTAAGTCTAATACAGCACTAATTTTATACATTTCTTGTGAAAGAAACACTTCTTATTCAACGGCCATAAAAATTATTTATATTAATGATGTCTCCAAAGGTCAAGTTATTTTTCTGCGAAAAATTCGTTATTAGAAATCGCGGCCGCCGTTTCATGTGCTGTTCCGCGACGAAAACCAGCTTTAAGCAACGGCGTAGTCGAACGGTACACACTCGGTAAGTAATCCTATAATTTTTTGTTTATAGCATAGTTTATACGGATTACTCCCAAAAAATTATACGTGTTTTGGAAATGTTGAGTCGAATTAGTCTAGAATCGGTTAATTTTATAGAAGAAAACCTTTCGAACAGCCTTAGTCCATAAAGTTCCCACCTATCGGGCTGCGATTGGCTCATGTATTTAATCATTCCTACAACGTAAAATTCGATTAGCGTGGAACGTATCTAAGCGTTATAGGGGGGTCTACTGTATACAATTAATAAAAAGCATAATTAAAATGTATAATTTACAAAAATTTACCTTTATGAGATCAATGACAAATAAAAAGAATATACATAAACTACTTGAGAGCATGGCAAAAATAAACAAAGTTGACATTAAAAGTATAGGAATAAATAGATGTTTTGATGTTTTTCTTTCAGTTCCATTCTTATAGTATCTATTATAAAATATAAATTTATATTAGAGTCTTTTAGTTTACAAATTGGAAATACATTAAAATGAATACATAATTTATAAATTAATAAAAATAACTTCAATACAGCATAGATACATCCAGATAGATAGTAAAGATTACCAAATAACACAATTAAAATATTTTTAGTCTCATTCAATACTCTAGTTTATATTATTTATAATAGATTATAAAAATATACCAAAAAACATATACATGATTAATAAAAAACATAATTAATGATTTATTGAATTATATAATCTAACCTATATGAATTATCATGAACATTGATTACTCAGTAACTTTAGTCAGTATCATAAGAGTCTGAACAAAACTGGGGATCAACTTATACAGCAACATAAAAAGCCAACTTTTATCTCAGAGTGGTGGGGATTCTCCCTTCTACCTTTCATATTCTTAGCAATACAGTAACAAAAGATTGGGAGGAGCTTCTTTTTCTCCTCTTATCAAACTCATGAGTGTCAAAAATTTTAGCTTTGTGTAAAATCAAACTTGTAATTTCACAAAGTTAATTTATAAGTGTAATTGTATAATCATCAATTGTGACATTTAAACTGAATAAATTTTTCCAACAGACACTGTATGAAATATATATGGTCAACAACCATTTTGTTTTGCATTTCAATAGTGCACTTTTCTTTTGCTTTGCTCACCTACTGCTGTAAGCAAGCTGGATGGCAATGCTTAGGATTGCTTAAGATAAACATACCAGTCTATGCTTAGGATACGATGATACCTAGATGATCTCTTCCTGAACTACAAGTAGAAACCTGGTAGAGTTTCTTTGTGGTGTCATTTTGATGTTTCTAATAATTTCTGAATTATTAATTCAATAAAAAAAATCAAAGCATAATTCAGCATTCAATCCACACAATAATAATAATATATTTGATTGATATCAAGATGAAAATCATTATTAGAATATGTTTTATTTAATCTATAAATTTCAAGCAAATTTCATATGATAACAAATTAATGTATTTTCTTTATGATGACATGAATACAGAAAAATTATCATAGTGAAAAATGTCTCTACTAAATAGAAAAATTGTAAAAATAAAAAATTATTTCTTAAAAAATATATTGGATTTAACAGCAAAACATTCTTTATTTTGTTAAATTCAGCTGAACTCAATTATAATGAGCATGATTATAACATGTTATTGTGAACAGACCTTCATTTTATGTGTTTGAGACATTTTTGTGTATAGATACTCACATTTATAAAATACAAAAAAAAATTGTCCTACATAGTACTTAATGAGTAGGAAACCCCATCACCATTTGAATGAACTGTCTACTGAATTGTCAAAACTACGACTCTTATGATTTATTTTTACATTTAATCTTCAGTTTTCAGTCTTCTTTCATGATGGCATGACCTTCAGTTTTCAGTCTTATTTGACATGTTTGGGTCCTGATTTGGCCAAACCACTTTGCACCAGTGTAGTTCTGCCACTGATTAAAATAAAATGAAGAAATTTTCTAACTCCCTTCACTACCATTCAAAATATTATGTCATTTCCTCCTTTCCTTAAAAAAATTCCATCTAACTTTTTAAATTTTATTGTATTGAATCAAATAAAGAAGCTTTGATTAAAAAATAATAAAATATTATATATAGTCATTGACCATTACTCACTATATCCATTGTCAGTGATATAGAGTAAATAACTATAACCATAGCTTCCTATAATCATTTTTAGTGAGTAGGTTTACTTGATCCTTTTGTACTCATTACAATCGAGTTTAACAGTATATAAAAATTTTAAATAAATTTATTCTCAGAATCAGTTTTTTTACAGCTTTTAAAAAATCAAAACTCTGGACCAATTCAATTACTTATGATAAACAGAATCTTTTTGTAATAATATTTTCTAATATTACATATATTTTATTTTAGCTTATATGCAGAATCTAACTTTTGCAAATATTACATTTACATTACTTTTCTTAAAGGTTTATCTCATGAAATTGATTTTTTTTTCTTTAAGTGAATTGAATAAATCAGAAATAATCTGTGTTAATTACAAAAATTCAAAAAAATTATACTAACAGCAAAGCATATAGCCTAGGAGTATTTTTAATTAAAATTTCATCATTTTTAATAACTTTACATGCTAAGTGTAGCAGTTTCTTTAAATATAAATAAAAAAATCAAATAATTATTATTTACATTTATAGCATTTAACAATACTGTAATCAGAAAAAAATAAGAAAAATCAATTATAATATTTACAACATAAATTTAAACTTGATGATGATGATTTAATGATTAAAAGAAAACTATTCTTAATCATTAGATTAAATAATCTAATCTAATTATCATGAACAGCATAACTTCTCTAATATTCAGTAGATACATAAAATTAAATTTATTTTTTAGTTTCTATGTATATATAATTTGTCAAATAAATTTGTTCTTATTCACATTTATCATATACAGTGTAAATCCAATTTACAAGCTTATGTTACAAAGCATTTTAGGGATACTAAAGCCTCTTATAAGTAGAAATGAGTCTTTTCATTATTCCTTACAGTCAAAATTTGTATCTTATTCTAACATAACCCAGTCACATCACACATTTCTCAAACAACATTAAAAGATCTACAAAATACCTATAAATGACACAATTTTATTAATGTAGAGATAATCATTCTAAAATTGGTACAATTTAGTAAACTTTATTATTATCTCTAATAAAAGATACTAATACACAGTGTGAATGCAACAAAGAAAATGTAGATTGGAACCTACAAGCCAGCTCAAGAATTTCAATCTAGTCATTTGTGATTAGAATATTTTGTTCACATAAATATTGGTTGGTGCTCATTCTTTCAAATATTTTATCTTGTAAATTGGTAAGAAAAATAAAATAAAGCAGTTCATTGTATTGAATTCTTGTAGATCAGGGTCACACTGTATATTGAAAATCAAAGTCTAAAAATTTTTCAGAAAATTTTTAAATTATAAGGACCTTGAATAAGTTCTCGCTGTTTTTTTGTGAAAATTAACACTTTATTTAAAAAAAGTCGTAATAAACACGTCACTGAAAGTATTGTCCGTCGCTAGCCACTACTTTCTCCTATCATTCTAGCAGCATTTGAATTCCATGTCGGAAAAACGACACGTTTTTTGAGGCTATCCAAGAATCAACCCATTTTTTGGCATCTTCATAAGAACGAAAGTGCTGCTCAGCCAGGCCACGTGACATCGATCGGAACAAGTGATAATCGGAAGGGGCGATGTCTGGTGAATATGGCGGGTGGGGTAGGACTTCCCATTTAAGCGTTTCCAAGTACGTTTTCACCGGTTGTGCAACATGTGGCCGAGCATTGTCATGTTGCAAAATCACTTTGTCGTGTCTCTGCTCATATAGCGGCCGTTTTTCCTTCAATGCTTGGCTCAAACGCATCAATTGTAGTCGATAGCGATCTCCCGTGATAGTTTCGTTTGGTTTGAGCAGCTCGTAATAAACTACACCTAGCTGATCCCACCAAATGCAGAGCAGAAGCTTCGAACCATGGATATTCGGCCTTGCTGACGATGTTGATGCATGACCGGGCTTACCCCACGATTTTCTACGCTTAGGGTTATCGTAGTGTATCCATTTTTCGTCACCTGTCACGATACGATGCAGAAAACCTTTCCTTTTCTGCCGTTGAAGCAGCTGTTCACATGTGAAAAGACGCCGTTCGACATCTCTCGGCTTCAACTCGTACGGCACCCAATGTCCTTGCTTTTGAATCATTCCTAATCCTTTTAAACGTTTCGAAACTGTTGTGTGATCAACTCCTAATGATTCTGCAAGTTCAGCTAGCGTCTGACATGAGTCTTCATGAAGTAATGCCTCTAATTCCTTGTCTTCAAACTTTTTTGGTGCACCAGATCGTTCTTTATCTTCAACATCAAAATCATTATTTTTGAAGCGTCTAAACCAATCTCTGCATGTTGTTTCCGACAGAGCATGGTCGCCGTAAGTCTCAACAAGAATTCTGTGTGCTTCAGCTGCAGATTTTTTTTGAATAAAATAGTGCAATAAAATTCCCCGCAAATACTCTTTTTTTAGCACGAAACTAGACATGTTTAACACAATGAAAAAATAAGTTGTTTACACTTTGGTGAAATGACGTATACTGAATTTCAAGGTCGCTTATTGTACTTCCTTACAGATGTGTCACCATCTAAAAATAAACACACGTGGTTCTGGTAACGCCATCTGTTGGAAAACAGCGAGAACTTATTCAAGGTCCTTATAGTATCATCAATAAAAATCATCACACAAAGAGTAGAAATGAAATTACAGTGCATTCTCACTAATCCAAACACCACTTAATCTGAACCAATTTTGATAATTTTCACTATATCTTGCAACTAAAACCAAACTACTTAAAAGATTATTTTTTATAACATGACACATTTATGTTAAAATGCGTAGTCCATAATTTTACAAATTTATGTACCAAATACAATGTAAAAATTTTTTAAATGCATGTATTTGTAATCCTTTTTTTTAACTTCCTTTTCTTTATATATAAATCTCTATATCTAAACAAGTCTTAGAATAATTAGTTTGAATTAGCTAGAATGCACCAGTTTTTATTTCACAGAAGTTTTTAATATAAAAAAAAAAAACTCAAAAAATATTTAAATATGCATACTTATTTTTCAAAACATTCAGATAATATCCATTTATTGTAATAAAATAATACTGGGCACTTGAAATGAGAACAATAAAGCCATAAGCTATGAAATACAAAATTGGTCTCAGACCCAAAAAGTAAAGACCTTCATTCTGTAGTATAAAATCATCTGGATATGGCAAGAAACCAGGAAGATAATTCATATCTCTGAAAATTATTAAAATGAATTTTATATTAAATTCTGCAAGTGTTAAATTTTTAAATAATTTACAATAATTTATGCATAAATAAATTAATTTTACTTTATCATAAAATAGAGTAGGACAGCTAGGCACTAAAAATTATAGTTATAAAAATCTAACTGATAATTTACATGTGATTTTTACATACTCTAATAATAAATGACATCATCCATAAATTGCTTAATTATATTTTAATTTATTTGTATATATGTTGCAGTCAAAACCCATTTTTAGTTAGAACACATTTTAACAAGTTGAAACTAGTTTATACTAGATGTCTTTGTTATAACCAGTTTTGTTTAGTTAAAACTAGTTTTAACTCAAATTCATTTTTGACTAGCAGTAAATTCTAGTTTTAGAAATAGATAAATAAATAACACTCACGCCAAAATTGTATAGCTTCTTGATAACAAGCACTGAGTTCAGCGTTAATACACTGAACTCGGTGCTTGTTATCAAGAAGCTCTAGTTTTAACTAGACAAAACTGGTTTTGTCTAGTTAATTTACTGTTTATTTAGTGTTAATTTAGTTGCACATGTTTTGATTTTAGATAAAACTAGTTTTAACTTTTAACATTAGTTAAAACTAATTCTAGCTACATAAATATGTTTGGGGGGAAATAAATAAAGTTATGTATAGTGATTCTGGGGAAGATGCCTAAAATTTTGCTTATGAAGGAAATTATAGCACTAATTTGGGTTTTGGAGCCCTCTAATGAAAATGTCATATTTTGGAGTATGTTTTTCAGATAAAACTGGAGTTTATTAAAAAAAAATTATATATTGTGTTTGCAATGACAACTTTTTCACTGTCTGGCATTTTAGGCATCTCACCCCAAGTATCCGGGTGAGATGCCAAATGCCATTAGGGTAAGATAACAAATATAATTGCTTAAAATTAATTTTTGAATTTCTTAACCAAATTTAATTTATTGCATATGTAGTACAAAGTACTTCATAGTAAATATAACAGCACAGTATAAGTATTGTTAAGTTTCCGCCCGTTCTAACGTGTTCTATAGCTAGCTGAAAGCTTTTTTCAGTCCAAAAACTTTTTTGAGAAGTCCTTATATAATTTCTA